GTGTACATACAACACGGCATCCTTCAGCGTGTACATACAACACGGCATCCTTCAGCGTGTACATACAACACGGCATCCTTCAGAGTGTACATACAACACGGCATCCTTCAGCGTGTACATACAACACGTATTACATGTCGCTTATGGGACTACACTCAGATGTAAACAGAAGAACGGTGTCTCAGGGAGGATCTCTGAGCTGTTGATGGTCTCCAGAGCAAACTGGACCACAGATCTGTTTTGACAACAAGCTGCTGAAACACAAGTCCAGTTGCACAACTGATCAGGTGAACTTCAACCATGTACATGTTTGTTGGCAGACAAAACAAACAACAACAGAACAAATACACATTGAAACAACAGTATGTACAACAATTTCCTGCTGGATCAATAAAGTTCTACCTTATCTTATCAACTCTTTACCTTTAGATATGGAGGACATTGCAACATAAACGACAGTTTAAGGGAAGGTGCCTAAGGCCAGTATTGATACAACAGTAAAACTAGACTCTGCAAACAAACCAGCACCTTCTGCACAAGTTTAGCATCACTGGGTCAAACCTGAGAGAAACAGGAAGTGTCACGACATAAACTTGTTTCGATCTAGTTGAAGATCCTCCAGAGTAAAGCTGGATCAACTGTCACATGCGCCAAGGGCAGAATTTCACTGTCCAAGCAAAAGGAAAATTAATTTTAGCTTTGGTTTGTTAGCAGCAGAGCTAGCTTGTAACGAAGGTCAAAGCGAAGCAAAGAGATGCTAACGCGAGTTAGCATCGTGACATCACCGCCGGAGCTGAGACCGTCGCGGCAGCGGCCGCCCTGCGGGCACACGACGCTTCTGCCCGGCTCGTCGAACCGGCAGCCGGAGCTCTTACCTCCGACTCCCAGGTTCACCTTCAGAGGGTGGCCGTCCTCTCTGAAGTCCGCGGTCAGTTTGAAGACTGCTACAGGCGGGGCCTGAGGGACCTCGCTGAAAATGGACATGCTCAGGTCGAAGCAGACGGTCCCGGTATGGAGCACGAGGGCACGGGGAAATGAAGCTTCCAGTTACCGCCAGGCAAAGACACAAGCCCGCAGGTTCACCACCTTCACCCCCAGGACGCGTAAAAATAGGCGTCGATCCGCCAGCCAATAGGAGAGCGCGTTTCACTGACGTAGCCCTGAATTAGCCAATGGCAGTGAAGTCGTGAAATCGTTTCTTTTTCCATCATTTTTATTTAATTTTTAGTTCATCTTTTAATTACTCAATATTTTTTAACTTTACATCTTTTTTTTTTTTGAAAATACTAACTCATTAACTGTATTAAAATTAATTCAACTTACAAAATAGAATAAAAAAGATAAAAATTTGCTAAATATGTTTAGAACAGGCCACGTTATTATGATTTTGTTGTTGTCAAAATCAGTTGGTTGTGTAATGTTTTGTTCCAACTGTATTAATGGGACGCTTTGTTTTGAAATACAGCTACTGAAACCGGAAGCAGCAATGCGATTTGGGTATTGCCGGCATGACGGCTGCCGGAGTTGTTGTATGAGGAATACGAAATAAATATAGTTAACTCCAGCAACAGATGTCCCGGTGGATTTGTTAACAAACCGACAGGCAACATGGTGTCAGAGTAGCTTACAGCCCCACACGCAATAATAAAGGGGTAATATTTTATCGTCAGGAGAGAGAAGATGGAGGCCTTTGGTGTTCCAACTCTGCGGATGGACGGGGATTCATCCAACCTGCCCGACGCATGGCACCGCTTCAAACAGCACGCAGAGCTGATGTTTAAGGGACCACTTGAACAGAAAACTGAGGAGCAAAATGCCGTTTTCTCTTGCTGTGGATTGGAGATAAAGGCCATGACATAAGCAACACCAGCAGACGAAGCTAAGTTGTTAAAAACATATTACGACGGCTTCACAGCGTACCTCATGCCCAAAGCTAACCCAATCTTCACCAGATACAAGTTCCACCAGAAGATGCAGAGCAGTGGTGAGTCATTTGAGCAGTTTGTCACTGAGCTTACACTATTAGTCAAATACTTTTTATTTTCTTCTCTGTACTCTGGTGAAGACAGACGTGTTTTCCCGGCGCTCTGTACCCCCCTCCTTCCCTGCTTGCACTCTTTCGTCCTGTGAACCCTTAAAG